TTTAAAAAACTAAGGTTACTTATTTTATACCAAAATAGGTAAATCCCAAGAGCCCAGATTTTGAGAGCAAACATGGTTCAACAGCTCAGCTTCTGTGTGTGGACATCAGTAACATGAAAGCCCAGCTGGAGCAGTCAGCAATACTTAGCATCCTCGCTTTTGTGGAGCAACTGAACTATAAGCTGTCTCAGCTTGCCCCATCCGTTGAGACACCTGCAGAACCAATGCAGACAGCATCTACTCTGTCCAAGTCTCTTGATAGTCATGAGAAGAAATCTTCTGGGGAAATGGACAAGTCTAAAACGAAAGCATTAGGTAATACTAAAAGCCATTTATTCTTTTTCATTTTGGGTACGTTCAATATTAATTTAATAACTTCTGTGTGATAGACTTTCAGAGCTTAGGTTAAGTTCCTGAAAACTGGTATCTAATCAAAAATAGCACTTACCAATGTAAGGAAATAAAGGCGAAAATAGGGTTACATTCTAAACATTCCCAAATTTGCCAAAAAGCTTTTTTAAAAAAAATCTTGTGTTAAAAATCAGTTTCTTCCTCACATTCTATTATTTTTTTTTTTATTATCACACTGGCCGATTCCCACCAAGGCAGGGTGGCCCGAAAAAGAAAAACTTTCACCATCATTCACTCCATCACTGTCTTGCCAGAAGGGTGCTTTACACTACAGTTTTTAAACTGCAACATTAACACCCCTCCTTCAGAGTGCAGGCACTGTACTTCCCATCTCCAGGACTCAAGTCCGGCCTGCCGGTTTCCCTGAATCCCTTCATAAATGTTACTTTGCTCACACTCCAACAGCACGTCAAGTATTAAAAACATTTGTCTCCATTCACTCCTATCAAACACGCTCATGATGCCTGCTGGAAGTCCAAGCCCGTCGCACAAAACCCCCTTTACCCCTCCCTCCAACCTTTCCTAGGCCGACCCCTACCCCACCTTCCTTCCACTACAGACTGATACACTCTTGAAGTCATTCTGTTTTGCTCCATTCTCTCTACATGTCTGAACCACCTCAACAACCCTTCCTCAGCCTCTGGACAACAGTTTTGGTAAACCCCCACCTCCTCCTAACTTCCAAACTATGAATTCTCTGCATTATATTCACACCAAGCATTGCCCTCAGACATGATATCTTCACTGCCACCAGCCTTCTCCTCGCTGCAACATTCATCACCCCCGCTTCACACCCCTATAAGAGCGTTGGTAAAACTATACTCTCATATATTCCCCCCTTTTCCTCCAAGGACAAAGTTCTTTGTCTCCACAGACTCCTAAGTGCACACTCACTCTTTTTCCCTCATCATTTCTATGATTCACCTCATCTTTCATAGACCCATCCGCTGACACGTCCACTCCCAAATATCTGAATACGTTCACCTCCTCCATACTCTCTCCCTCCAATCTGATATCCAATCTTTCATCACACTAATCTTTTTGTTATCCTCATAACCTTACTCTTTCCTGTATTCACCTTTAGTTTTCTTCTTTTGCACACCCTACCAAATTCATCCACCAATCTCTGCAACTTCTCTTCAGAATCTCCCAAGAGCACAGTGTCATCAGCAAAGAGCAGCTGTGACAACTCCCACTTTGTGTGTGATTCTTTATCTTTTAACTCCACGCCTCTTGCCAAGACCCTCGCATTTACTTCTCTTACAACCCCATCTATAAATATATTAAACAACCACGGTGACATCACACACATCCTTGTCTAAGGCCTACTTTTACTGGGAAAAAATTTCCCTCTTTCCTACATACTCTAACTTGAGCCTCACTATCCTCGTAAAAACTCTTCACTGCTTTCAGTAACCTACCTCCTACACCATACACTTGAAACATCTGCCACATTGCCCCTCTATCCACCCTGTCATACGCCTTTTCCAAATCCATAAATGCCACAAAGACCTCTTTAGCCTTATCTAAATACTGTTCACTTATATGTTTCACTGTAAACACCTGGTCCACACACCCCCTACCTTTCCTAAAGCCTCCTTGTTCATCTGCTATCCTATTCTCCGTCTTACTCTTAATTCTTTCAATTATAACTCTACCATACACTTTACCAGGTATACTCAACAGACTTATCCCCCTATAATTTTTGCACTCTCTTTTATCCCCTTTGCCTTTATACAAAGGAACTATGCATGCTCTCTGCCAATCCCTAGGTACCTTACCCTCTTCCATACATTTATTAAATAATTGCACCAACCACTCCAAAACTATATCCCCACCTGCTTTAACATTTCTATCTTTATCCCATCAATCCCGGCTGCCTTACCCCCTTTCATTTTACCTACTGCCTCACGAACTTCCCCCACACTCACAACTGGCTCTTCCTCACTCCTACAAGATGTTATTCCTCCTTGCCCTATACACGAAATCACAGCTTCCCTATCTTCATCAACATTTAACAATTCCTCAAAATATTCCCTCCATCTTCCCAATACCTCTAACTCTCCATTTAATAACTCTCCTCTCCTATTTTTAACTGACAAATCTATTTGTTCTCTAGCTTTCTTAACTTGTTAATCTCACTCCAAAAACTTTTTCTTATTTTCAACAAAATTTGTTGATAACATCTCACCCACTCTCTCATTTGCTCTCTTTTTACATTGCTTCACAACTCTCTTAACCTCTCTTTTTCTCCATATACTCTTCCCTCCTTGCATCACTTCTACTTTGTAAAAACTTCTCATATGCTTACTTTTTCTCCCTTACTACTCTCTTTACATCATCATTCCACCAATCGCTCCTCTTCCCTCCTGCACCCACTTTCCTGTAACCACAAACTTCTGCTGAACACTCTAACACTACATTTTTAAACCTACCCCATACCTCTTCGACCCCATTGCCTATGCTCTATTCTATTAGTCATTGCTTAACCCTTTGAGGGTCCAAGAATTTTGAAACAAATTTTTTGTTATTTTTTCTCATGAAATGGTGAGAATTTTTTTCTGAAGGTAATAAAACATAAAGTACGAAATTTGATGGAAAATTAACGAAATTGCACGCAAATTTTACTGCGTCAGTGATTTTCATGCATTGGTGATTTTGCCCACTTTGACAACTATTTTAGGCCAATTACATTATTCTAGTTGACCAGGTTCTTAGCTGTTTTGCTAGTAATCCTTCTGTTTTATCGATTCAGCTCAAGAAACTGCGCAATCAACTGTTTCATCTACCCTATAAAGTGATCAGAAATCGGTAATTCGACCAATTTCACACAGTTCAAAATATTAATTTCAAAATAGGGTCCAGAATAAACAATGCAGGCATTCCTGGCACTAAAATAACATTTCCTTTATTTATTAGTTTTGTTTCCAGGCTTTAGACATGAATTCCATTTTGATTTTTTATTTATATAGAATTTTTATTCACCAAAAAATAGAAGATTTACTGTTATGCAATATTGTAGTAATTGTATAAATAATATCAGTGCATTCATGAATGTATATTAGACCCATCAGTTGACATGTATTGGATGCGTAACTTCATTTGTTTAGTCTTGAACATCTGCAAAAATTGAACATTTCTGCTACTTTGAGCTCAATTTCAAGCTGTTTTTAGTACTAAAATTAATGAAACTCATCTCTATTTCTGTAATATATATTCCATTCTATCAAATGAGTCTAAGAAACTGTGAATACAACTGTAAAAACCATAGGAAAAGTCACCCCAAAATCAGTCTTTTAATTTGTAAAGTCGCATTTTTTTCTTGTTTTCACTGTGTGCTGCAGAATTTGTTTTATGTGGTACACACTTACCACTTTGATGCATTGTCTCATATCTAGGCCCAAATTTACCACTTAAAGCTTATGAGTGAGCCGAGCTTATGACAGAACTATGTCTTGGACCCTCTAAGGGTTAAAGAATTTGAGGGATGTAGGGAGGGTTAATATGGGCCTATTGGCCTCAGTTAGATGTAGTGAGGTTTATCCTGACACACTGTACATGTAGGAAGCAGCAGCAGTTACTTTCTTCATGTCAAGAGTTCATAGGGTCCTGTTTTCCTTAAAGCAGTGTCTGGAAACTATGGAGACACCTGCCAGTGCTGGCTTTCACTCCAAGCAATATTGTGCAAAGATTTTGAAGTACATATTTTAATATACAGTGGACCCCCGGTTAACGATTTTAATCCGTGCAAGAGGGGTAATTGTTATGCGAAATAATCGTTATGTGAATGAATTTTCCCCATAAGAAATAATGGAAATAAAATTAATCCGTGCAAGACACCCAAAAGTATGAAAAAATTTTTTTTTTTACCACATGAAATATTAATTTTAATACACACAAACTGAAAAAGGCATGCACACTTACATGACACTTACTTTTATTGAAGATCTGGTGATGATTGATGGATGGGAGGGGGGGAGAGCATTATTTCTTACTGTTTAGAAGGGGAACCCCCTTCCATTAGGACTTGAGGTAGCAAGTCCTTTTCTGGGGTTACTTCCCTTCTTCTTTTAATGCCACTAGGGCCAGCTTCAGAGTCACTGGACTTCTTTCGCACAAGATATCTGTCCATAGTGGCCTGTACCTCTCGTTCCTTTATCACTTCCCTAAAGTGTTTCACAACATTGTCAGTGTACAGGTTGCCAACACGGCTTGCAATAGCTGTGTGAGGGTGATTTTCATCCATGAAGGTTTGCACTTCAAGCCACTTTGCACAGATTTCCTTTATCTTTGTGTAGTAGGCAACTTCTTCAATTTCTCTCTCCCCTCCTCTGAACCAGTTTCCCCAGGTCTGGCCTCTTGCTCTTGAAGTTGATCTATCAGCTCATCAGTGGTTAGTTCTTCATTGTCCTCCTCCACCAACTCTTCCACATCCTCCCCACTAACCTCCAACCCCAAGGACTTTCCCAATGCCACAATGGATTCCTCAACTGGCACAGGATTCTCAGGGTTAGCCTCAAACCCTTCAAATCCCTTTTGTCTACACATTCTGGCCACAGTTTCTTCAAGCAGAGTTAAAAGGTCCTCTTAGTCACTTCTCCAAGCCTTACCTATAAGGTTTACCCACAATTGAGGATATTAAAGTGATCTCTCCAAAACTCTCTTAGAGTCAGTTGAGTTTCTGAGGTCATTACAAACACCTTTCAAACAGAGCTTTTGTGTACAGTTTCTTGAAGTTGGAAATAACCTGCTGGTCCATGGGCTGCAGGAGAGGAGTGGTATTAGGAGGCAAAAACTATCACCTTAATGAAGCTCATGTCCCATAAAGTCGCTCTGGCCACGTCTGTAGGATGACCAGGGGCATTGTCTAACACCAGGAGGCACTTTAAGTTCTAATTTCTTTT